TTTTAAATAAGATCATTAATAATAAGACAGATCTTATCAAAATTTCATTGAGATAGCAGCTATGATATGCAAAAATATTAAAATATTTGCCATATTAGAAATATTTCTATATAATATCATCTAATCATATCGTACTTTGTGAATCAAAATACAGATACAATGGATCAATACGGATAAACGAAATATATCGTACTTTTATGATACAGATGCAAGAGATACTGTACTAATAAATAAGGATATTTACTACCAATGATAAGCCTCATATTTATACAATTAATAAAATTGTTCGTTTTTTTTTTTTTTAGGGCATTAATATCTGATCAATAAATTAGCTATATGCAATATAGGACAAATAGTTGTATTAGCTTTGTATGGTATATTGTAGATAAGAACAAAAAATATACGGTATGGATTTTTTTTTGGCAAAAAATTGAATGAATGAAAATATCTCAACAGCAAACATCACATAACGCTCCTTTTAAGATGCTCAAATTTATTTATGGCTAATATTTAACTTATGCTAATATGTGTAATTTGTGCCAAAAAGCAAAATTTTGGCAAAAAAAAGTCCAGCATATATAAATTTAAAAGTCTTTTAAATTCATACTTGTACAGAGATAAATTTATTTAAATGGAAATTACAAATTATATTTTATTTAATTCATCGCTCTATTTAAACAAATATTTATTAAGTTGTAAAAATGCGTAAAGGAATGATATTTTTAAACTTTTTAGTAATAAGATTAGATATCATTAAGAAAAATATTAAAAAATATCAAATTTTTAATTCGAAATATTAAAAATTTATTTTGGTCATCAAAAAAAAAATGTCAACTTTTCAAATTTTTTTTTTGGAAAATGTTAAAAACATCTATTAATTGTGTGAATTTGATAATTAATTGAATTTAACAGGGAAATATATTACGACAAAAATATTTTTATTGCTTCTTGATAACATTGATCCCAATAATTAATCATTTATAATTGAAATATCCCTCCAGCATCAGCAAACATCTTACAGCCTTTTATTTTATTGAAATTATTATTGCTGACAATTGCGGCAATAATAATAGCACTATTTGCATATTATTACGATATCAATATAATAATTATTATTGCTATACTACTAATTACTATCATATCACTATTGCATCATTATTTATCTTACTATTATTGTTGCAATATTAATTGTACACTGGAATATTTTGTCTAAAGAAAAAAATATAAGATATATACTCCGAGAGATTATCAATTTGAAGTTTAAACATAAAATGTTACTTAAGTGATATTGTAAAAGCTAAATAATATTAATGAAATACGACCAATCTATTCTATTTGCTCCCAAATCCAAAACTTTCCAGTCCTTCTTATGATAATTATTGTTGTAAGGTCAAACATGCCGTTTACATAGCCTAGAAAATGTTCTGAATTAGACGTGATAGGATTTGAAAAAAAAAAAACTTTTCTCTTTAACATCCTGGAATTAAATGGAAAAGTTATTTATCAGGATTTGCTAGAAAATGAAAAAAGCAACGAAAAAAAAAAGTGAAAAGACATTTACTATCAATAAATCACGACGATATCCGTATAATTCACCAGATGTTTTCGAGGTTGGAAATTTTTTACATCCTATTAATTAGGATCTCGAACGTTTTAGGCTAAAAACTATGAACTGCCAAGCACAGACTTTTCTTCAAATTGGCATTAGCCATGAAATTAGCTCTGTGCTCAATTTGTCTTAATTGAGCACTATCATTTGAATTCTCACTGAAGCATTCATTCAATCCTAACATTTGCTGGAAAATCAATTGTCATATATGCAACATTCCTATTAGCAGTGCTAAGATTTAAATCATCATTGCATCTTTCATAGGCTTAAATAGATTTATATATCCCTATAAATGCCTTCCAGTAATTTGAGGCATCAATTATTTCAGTCCAATTTAACTGTCTTTTGTTTATTGAATATAAATTTCCTTGATTTTCAGATAATTTAATAATTTATCTTCCTCTACTCTTGTCATCCTCTTT